GGGGGGGGGGGTGCCGAAGAGGATTTTTTTGCAATCTGTGATTGCCTGTGTTCTGAAATTATTGTGTTATAGCTCGAAGGTGACCCTTTTGTCACTATCAACTGTTGCGTGGGTTGGGATAATGGACTTGGACGCATACATTCAGGTGTTAATAACTGTCAGTCAATTTGGGGAAAAGAAGTGCGGTCAGTGTACGCGCACAGGCCAATTCATTTTTATTTATTATTTCTGACATGTCGGACATCGGGATGCTTAATTGAACTGGTGTCAAAGTGTATTCTGACACATTTCCGAAGGATTTTTTTTCTTCTCCAAGGGAATGAAATCAGTAGAGGTGGAGGAAGAAGCTTTACTTTGGTTCGGGAGATGACGTTGCACCTTGTTCATGCTCTTCTCTAATAGCATTTTTTTAATGTTACCTGAAATAAAATGCATCTGGAAATGACGACTGATGTGTTTATTCAGGGATGCAAGAAGGGGAATTGCGGTGATGGTCAATGCAGCCGCTTGTTAGGGTTCCCCTTTTGTGAAGTTGAAAGTGAAAAGAAAATATGAGGATTGGACAACAGAAACGTGCTGGCAGAATTCAATTTTGGGAGGAAAAAAATCACATGTAGCGATGTTAAGTTACCACTAGATGTCAGCATTGATCCTCAACTCGGCCCTGGACTCACATCGCAACCATAGTGGACACTCCACCTAACGGAGAGACGAGGAATGACACACATTACGTCACATGACATTAAGTCAAGTAACCAGTACATTCTTCCATTACTCATAAAAAGATAACACGAGTGACGTCACTCAGTGGTCAGATTGTCAACTCTTGACGCCTGTTGTATGTGACAAAAAAAAAAATTGCTTATATGCTTCTTAGACCAGAAAAGTGTGTGGTGTACTATACACAAGGGGTGTCAAACTCGTTTTTTGTCGCGGGCCACATTGTAGTTACGGTTTACCTTGGAGGGCCGTTATGAATTTTGGGAAACCATAAAAATGTTTCATCCCCTGCACATATTACATACACAGCGCACAACAAATTGATCAACAACTATTTTTACAATCAGAAGTCAATTATAATGACTGTTGTTGCGGATTACATATGACAATTCAAAATTTTGGTTCAGACTTTCGACTTTAGGAACTTGACATGCTTGATTTGCTTTCACGGGCCACATAAAAGGGTGTGTCGGGCCAGATCTGGCCCCCGGGCCTTGACTTTGACACCTTTAGTATACGCAAACATTTATTGACTTTCTTCATTTAGTTTATAACTGCTTGTTCACTTTCTTGTTGAATAACCTGCACTTTAAACAAAAAAACGTTGAGTGAACTCAAAATTTCAAGGCAACACATTTTGATCACATTTTACATTGGGCGACTTTTTGAAGTTTTGCTGATGTGAAAATTGGCTTTCCCGCATTTCGGCGAAGAAATACGATACATAACTAATCGTACCTTGGATTGTCTCCCGCCCCCCAAAACTTAAAAGATTCGTAGTAGAAAAAGTACAAACAACTCGGAAATTTGTTTTGGAGCAAACTGCTTGCTTGCTTCGCAAAAATTCCATCGAAAAAATGTCAGAAAGAAATGCGCTTGCTTTTTTTTTTTTTTGTTTTGTTTTGTTTTACTCCATT